TCCCCTTCCTAGAGCTCATGGTCCTTTTCTTCCCCTATCAGGACCCTGACTTTAGCATAGAGATCTCCAAGGGTATACATTTAATCATCATTGCAACCCTGCTACCCTTATAATTAAATCCTGAACTGATGTTTAGCAGTCTTTCCTGAGGCTGCAAGAGATGAAAGTCTCTTTAAATTCTAATATGAAGGCTTTCCAGCCCTTGCATTGAGTACTGAGTTGATAGCTGGCTGATCATGAAAGTTTAAAAGAAAAAATAGCCAACAAATTTCCTCATTCTTGTAAGTACCATTGCTCCTTCCCCATTCACATGTCAGAACTACCATGCAGATTGTTTCATGTTCATCTTCTGGCCACCACAGGTAAGAAGAGCCTGAGCAATCGCGATGCCGTAGCACACCAGGAGGTATTCCTGCTGTCATCTGAGTGAGGAGTGACCCACTTTGAGACCGGGGAGGCTGCATTAAGGCTTTCTTCTTACACCAACTTTAGTGACGTGGTTTTTCCACAAATGCAAACTTAAGACAATTACTTCAGTGAAGTTAGATCATTTGGGTGGTGATCCTAGCAAGAAGCAGTAAGGAAAATGGGAAGAAAATATAAAAGATGCAAGAGTGTATTATTAAAGTTGTTGCTGTGGGCAACCAGCACTCAGTTTCACCAGGACCACTTGACAAGTCCACAAATGGCCTTACAAAATTGTCTTGCTAAGGAAAATTAGCCCTTGGGAGGCAAGGTGAATTTTCACAGATGAGCTATTAGCAGTTTTCCTGTTTAATTATGCTTTTATAGATCAGCATATTAGCAATTCTATAGATTGGATTACTGCCTTGTTGAATGCCTCTGTTTATTTTGGTTGACTCTGCTTGGACTACCCTTTCTTCCCCTCTTTTCCCCATACCAAATCCTCAGCATCATTTAGATTCTGCCTTCTAAAGGAAGCTTTCATAATCCACTCCAGTCAACATTTTACTACTTCTAATTTCCATTCTGCTGTCTTAGCACTCATTTGGCACTTAGTCATAGTCATTCATGAAGTATTTACTGAGTGGAGGCTATGCCCCAAGCACTCTGTTCTTGATGATGGTAGTATAGCTGTGAATAAATGAGAGAAAATTCCTGTTCTGTGGAACAAAATTGCAGCAGCACAAAAGATGTGGGGGAGCTCTAGCTGGTTTGACTCAGTGGATAGAGCGTCGGCCTGCGAACAGAAGGGTCCTGGGTTCCATTCCAGTCAAGGGCATGTACCTTGGTTGCAGGGTCCAAGGGTCCTGACCCTGGTCGAGGCTCATGCAGGAGGTTACCAATTGATGTGTTTCTCTCACATTGATGTTTCTCTCTGTCTTTACCTCTCTCTGCCACTCTCCCTAAAAATCAATGAAAAGATATCCTCCAGTGAGGATTAACAACAACAACAAAAGGTGTTGGAGAGACTGACAATAAATATGTAGGAAGTGATCAAAACTGCTATGAAAACAAGTAAAGCGGGGTGAGGACAGTGTGTGTGTGTCTGTGCGCACGCACGCACTTTCAGGGGTTAACTCTCCTAGAGAGGGAAGTCATAGAAGAACTGTATGATCAGTTACCTTTGAGCACTGGCCCAAAGAAAATGAGGAAGTATGTGTTGTGGACATCGGGGAGGGCAGCATTCCATGCAGAAGGAACAGTAAGTCCTGAGCACTGATGCTTAATATGCTTGGAGAGGGTTGGATGGCTTTTGAAGAGTAGCTGTGAATGTGGTCGATCCACATCAAGTTCTTTCTTAGAAGCCACAATAAGGGTTTTGAACTTTAATCTGAGTAAAACCATAAGCCATAAAAGGTCTTTCAGCAGAAAAATGTATATTTGGTCACAGATTCTGAAAGGGTCATTCCAGCTGCTGAATGAATTTGGATATAGAGAAATAAAGAGAAGTAGAAAGACCTGTTAGGTTACTGCAATCATGCATGCCTGAGTGGATGGTACCTTATGACACCTCTTGTAATGTAAATTGTTTTGTACCAACATTTACTTTTTTGTCATGTATATCCATAACTCCTTGAGGGCAGAGAGCTCATACTGTTAAATGATGGATCATGTGTATGACCTATACACATGTCTATTTAATACAGCTCAATAAATTATTTAAATGCCTAAGAGTAGTATTAAGTCCACATTATTTGGTAACAGTATGGGATCACTGAAAGCCTTTGTCACTTACTATTTCTTTAAGAAATTTTTATTCTCCAAGCCTTAATTTCAACATTATAACATGCTTATAACACCGACCTAACCTAGTCTGTTGTAGGTGGCAGGAATAACACCAGGCATTAGACCACTGGGATCAGACCAAACCTGGGTTCAGCAACCTCAGTACTTCAGTTCTGGTTAGGAAAGAATTATTCAGAGCCAAGACTCAACCATAAGAGAACATTTATTTATAAAATCACAGAGGTGGAAGAAGTAACTCGTAAAAGAAATGAGCTTAGGAAACAAGTTATAGAGGCAGAGTTTGGGAATGAGGAAGCTAATGGTAACAAGCCTGGGGGTGGGAGAGGGGAGGGAAAGACATGGATGGGCATGTTCCTAGAGGGAGAGCTCACTGGATCCTACATCCTAAGGGTTTCAAGAGTGGAGATTTTAGGGGAGGTCCCAGGGGAAGATCTTAATAGAATATCCATCAACTCTCCAGGTGTGTCCCTTCAGGGTCTAGGTCTCCACTGATTGATTGGGTGGCACCAGTGCAGGGGGTCATTATCCAAATCAGGTCCTGAGGTCAGCCTTTGTGACCCTTGTCTGGTTTTGCTGCTTTTCTGGGACTAGAGCTGAATACAACTGAGGCCTAGATGGTATCCCTAGGGAGGAAAGGTCAGGGGGTCCAAACCAAATGACCAGCAATATGCTAGGGGAGGAAAGGTCACCCTGGAGGGGGAGGTCCTACCCAATAATTGTCCTTTGCTAGGCACCTGGGATTTTTGCCCTGGTGGCCTTCTGAACCTGGCCCATTGTCCTTGCTCTGCTCCTGTCTGTCTAATTGCCTACTACAAGTCAATAAGGATTGAATAAAAATGCCTGGCCACACCCACCACTTACAATGGAAGATATCTGTGTTACATCAACAGAAACCAAACACCCAATACAAAACACACATGCTCTTTCTGTAAAATGCCTGTGAGATTTTAAAAGCTTTACATAACTGACTGGATTCTAACATATATTAATCCAATTCATTCCTTCCTAGTTATACAGAGCATGCACTTAAAAATGTTCCAGCTCTGTCCTAGCATCTTTGCCTTCGGTATCATTTTAGTGTTAACTAAAATCCACTTATCACCTCTCCATCCCATCTTGGTTTGTCACATCATTACATCCCAGTAATTGTGGATGTAGCCCTAAACTCGAGGTAGATGTTTAGGAGTTTGATAGATGGTCAAGCTATGGAATCTGCATTCTGAGCCGTAAGTGACGCTGTCAAAGCAATGCCGGCAACACTTCTGTTGTGTTGCAAGGACCGGGTTGCGATAGCTCCAAGCTGAATTATAATGTCAGAGGCAACCCAAGTGTTACTTCAGTCCATTTACACCGGAAAGCAGGTGCAAGCCAGGTAAGAACAGGGAAGCCGAGAAAGGTACGTCGACTTCGCCTCATCTCATTAGGATCAAGTAGAGGAAAGAGGGAACCCCAGAGATTTCTAAATGCGGGTCATCTTTCTCCTCTTGGCCGCCTTCTCAAATTTCAGTGCAGGGCCCTTGACGTGAGGTCTCCTCCCGCTTGGGCGCCCACGGGGCTGGAGAAGCCAGGGAGTCCCAGGCCCCTGCTAGCAGGAGGCTGCAGAAGCTGAGGCTTGCACCCAGGAACAAGCGGAGCACACTTGCCCCCACTGGCGGTCGCCGCCCCTAGGCCATGTTTAGTGGGCACGGAGCGCTGTCCTCGCAAGGTAGGGCCCACCTCGGCTGCACGCTTCCCGCGCCCCGGAGGAGAGCGAGCATGCGCGAGAGGTAGCCGGGCGCTGCAGCCAGAGGCCAACCGGGAGGCGGGGCCGTGAGACTGCGCATGCGCGCCGAGACACATAGGCGGAAGTGGCGCGCGGGCGCCGGCACCGCGAGGACCTTTGCGTGGAGGCGGCAACCTGGCGGACAGTGCAAGATTAGTCCGAGAGGAGGAGAAGCCGGAGGTGATGGCGGCGGATGTGGGAGGGGGAGACGCTCGCCTGGCTGGCGCCGCCCAGTCTGGGGTCACCTGGAAGGCTCCGGAGGGGACGTGCCGCACGGGCCCTGCGTCCTATTTGGGACCCGACCGCCCCGCCCCCCTGGCCCCCCGAGAACCTCTCCTCATCCCTCAGGAACCTGCGGAGGAGGCTGAGGCTGGCGTGGAGAGCGCGGGTCACTTCCTCCTGTGCAGACCGGAAACCCGCTGTCACGGTTTCTCGGGAGGAGCGTTGCTCTTGGCCCCATTCCGCCCTCCCCCCTGCCTGGCCCCTGGATCGCAGGCCTGCGGCCACGCTCAGGGGCCCCTGGAGGAAGATCCACCCCCCGGGGTCCGAGCCCGCATCTTAGTTGGGAGCTTCTTCCGGTTCCGCGCCCAGGAGGGTGCCCCGCTGGCCTTTTGGTTTGCAGGGCAAGGTGATGGTTCTTACAGGTTATTAAGTGCGGGTCTTCAGCCTCCCCTGGAAGCTATGCCGGTCCTCCCGTCCCTGCAGCTCAGCTCTCTCCCCAGCCGTTTTATTTTTCTTTTAAATATGGAACGAAGGCAGGAAGATTTGGTGTGCTAAGAGGGTTTTGATTTTTTAGCGTTGGACATATTCAGGAGGATAGCAGATGTCGAGAATTGTTTGTTGGAAAAACTTTCTAAGAATTGAGGTAGTTTGTGACTTGGAAGAGAAAAAGATAGTAGCATTTGAAAATAATTTATATAAGTGTGTTTTATACTTAATATATATATGAAATTATACACACACACACACACACACACCCTACATTTAGCTTTATCGCTTGGAAAAGAAGAGTAACCTTCAAAAGGTACCACACGGTTTCTTAAACTTTGTACAGTGAGGTGTGTCCAAAGAATTGGATAGCATTTATTATTCTCTGTTTTATAATCATTCCCCATAGGTCATGATTACTATCTAGAAACCACTTAATCTAACTGTAACAGTAAGATCCTTTATCTGTAATAATGAGTGTGACAAAATACAGAATCAAGCTTACTTCAGGTTACTTACACTGAAATGGCATAATTTCCTCATATTTTACCCTTTTGTGGGAGACCTTTCAAAGGTTGGAAAAGACTGGATTAAGAAATTTACTGAAGTACTTTTGACTGCAGTAGGTCGTTGTAGATCAACATTATCACCAGTTACTTATAATTTTTTAAATTTACTATGTGCTAGAAATACTGCTTTTTTATTCGGTTTTAGCTGTTATTTGTGCTTTCAGGTAACTAAAATTAAATATCTGGGTTGCCTTTAGTAAGAGGCCTCAGGCAATGTGTTTTTTGTACTTAGTTTCAAGAGTTACTGTAAACTTATAAAGCAAAACAAAATGTCCACCATTTAGTTTGAAATGTTAACCAGTGTTAACTTTATGCTTGATTTTTTTTTTTCCTGCACCACAAGGACATTGGCCTAATTTCTTTAGATGTTGATTTGTAATGTCATTAATGTCTGAAATGGAAGGGATATGACAAACATTTAAGATTACAATTATTGGGTTTCAGAGCTCACAGGGAATTCCTTCATTAGTCACATGATCTGACCAATGGTGTTCTGATTAATAAAACTACATTCTAAATGCAAAGCTTTAAAAGGGAGGTTTTCTAATGCTGGTGCCTCAAGTAAGCAACAGAAGTGAATTTATCTTCATGTTCATTTTAGATGCTCTGTGGAAATTTTCAGTATGGATATTAATATTTTGGCACAAATGTCCAAGAAGTAACGTGCTACAGGGATTTATGCGTGTCTGGTATAGGTCTGTGGCTCATAAGATTGCCAGTAGGTGTGTTGAAGTGACAAAGTATTAGAAGAAGAATACAATTGATATAGAATACTATGCAAAACAGAGTTTATCCTTATCTTATTAATCATTAATTATTGTATTATTTTTCCATACCATCAACTGTAGACCTACTTTAGCCCCACCATGTATAAATCCAAAGAAAACCGACAGTCATCTATGGAGGCTTCATGATTTTTTTTTTTTTTTACAGGCTAACAAAAAATTGTGTGTTTCTCAGCTTTTTGAAATACCAAAGAGTTTTTTTTCCCAAAGACTTTTTTCTCTTGTTTTTAAACAGCTTTATTGAGGTATAATTGATATGTACTTAAAAACAACCTGCACATTTAATATATACAATTTGATGAATTTGGATATATGCATATGCCTGTGATACTATCACCGTAATCAAAGTAGTAAACATATCTATCACCTCCAAAAGTTTACTTCCCCTTCTGTGTGTTTATATGATTAAGAACGCTTGACGTGAGATCTACCCTTTTAACAAATGTTAAGTGCACAACACCTTGTTTTTAACTATAGGCACTATATTGTTAACAGATCTCTAGAATTTACTCATTTTGTTTAACTAAAACTTTACAACCATTGAACAACACCCCCCTAAAGACTTTTAAAATTATTTTCTCCAAAGAAAGAAAACTTTTTTTTTACCTAAGAGATGCTATTGCTAAAGTATATCCTCCTTTCTGTAGTTTCTGATAAATCTAGCTTTTTAAGTCACTTACAGTTGTTTGATTTTATTTTAAAATGTCATTAGCAACTATATTGTCTTAGTATATGAGAAGCATTAGTTGTTCTTTACTCTTCTGCAAATAAGAATTGACATTAATGTGAAGATGTCATGCATAAACTGTCATGGGCTTTAAAAATTATATTCTTCTACATATAAAAACATAAAGGTGTATTTACTTCTTTGATGAAATAAATATGAGATTACCTTTTGGAAATGAGAATGGTATATGTTTAATTTAATGACGTATTGGTCTTTATTAGGTGAAGATAAATTGGAGAGTCGACATGTTTTTGGTTGATTGGAAAATTGAATAGGGGAATTAATATATTAATATCCAGAGACTATGAGATTTATTTGTATAATTTTAAAGTGTGATTTGAAATATTATTTGGAGCATAGTACTTTATGATCCAAATGTTTTGCTTACATGGCCTATTTCCTTCTTTAGGACTTTGCTCAGCAAGCAAAAGAAAAACTGAATAAAGGAGAGGAAACCAACAAAGATACCTTTGGAAAATCTGAATGTGGCAAAATAAGAACAATGGATCTCAAGTTCAACAATTCCAGGAAATATATTTCTATAACTGTCCCGTCCAAAACCCAAACAATGTCACCACATATCAAGTCAATAGATGACATTGTAGTGCTTGGCATAAATCTTAGCAGATTTAACAAACTTACTCAATTTTTCATATGCGTTGCTGGAGTTTTTGTATTTTACCTCATTTATGGATATTTACAGGTAAAAATTAGTTATTTGTTTATGGTAATTATAACAAGTATGGTCAATAAGAGCAGTTAAGAGTTTTGTTCAAGATATTTTCCTTTATAAGGTACTGGTTTATTCACAAATTTGAAGTTTTCAGTATAGTAGTAGAAGAGGGCCTCTTAAAAGTAAATCTGTTTCAGCAGAGGTTACGGTTTCAGAATTCAGTATTTTAAGAGGGAAAGAGAGCAAAGACAATCTTAAGAAATTAAAAGTATGAAAAATTAAAATATTTAACAAAATATAGATAATGTATTTGTTTTTAAAAGTGAATAATTCAAGTATTGATTGGTTTCTGGAACACAATTCTCCATTAAAATTTAATGATAGCACAAAAGCTGTATTCCAGTTCATTCTTCATTCTTGGAGCTTAATAATAGCAGGTCAATTTTGAAAAAAGCTTATATAGATGTTTTATATTTTTCCAAGGGTATCTCTTTGATTCTGTGATCATTGAATGCTTTTGTTTTATTTTTTTGAAACACCTATTGTATTTTCATTCTTGTTAGTTTCTTTTTCTATTCTAACTTTGGCAGAACCTTATTTTTTTTTACCTGTGCCAAAATTTCTAACATTTCCACAGTTTGTCTCACATTTGCATTGTGTTATGGCATAGGTGTATACATTTAACCAGCAGTAAATTCCTGACTTTCAAAGACATGGGTTGGATGGGAGGATCTAGGCTAGTGTAAACAGAATTTTGAAATGGACTAATATTATTAATGGTCAGTTCATTAGTATTTTCAGCCATTACCAACTTTGCTTTTTATGCAACTCCCCAACATGAGAGAACCCTTTATAATTCAAGAAAAGGAGGGTGAAGTGTTTTTTTCAAACACAGATATTTCTGGTATGCTGTAGTATTACTCAGAGTGAGCTTAATCATTGTACTCTGACATTGTCTTAAAGATAAAATATAAATAAAGGTGATTTGTGACTATTCCTTAGCTTATAAAAATGCTATGAAGAGTATTAGTGTAAAACAAAAACATGAATTAAAATCTTAATTTTTATAATAACCGATTTTGCCACTACAAAATGCTATAAAAATTCAGATATCACAGTGAAGAACAATAAAAAATAGTAAATTTTATCAAATAAAAGCTAGAATTCTTGCTGAAACATTTTTTTAAAAAAAAAAAATATCATTCTTACCAAATAACTTGGGAGCAAAGTTAGTCATTGCAAAGGAAAATGAATTAGAAATTTACTGTACAAATTTCATTATATATTAATAATCAGAGACATTATAGCTAATGTGCAGTTTCTTTTAAAATTAGATAAATTGCTATAAATAAGTTTGTAACACCATTATCATTGTGAAATTGGCATTGCTACTAAATAACACAATTGCATATTAAAATAGTTTAAAGAAAATGTTTGGAGTTGTGTACTGAAGTTAGCTATATATTTATATAATCTGAATGCCAAAATACTTAATAAAGCTATTTTCATGTTTTATAGTTCATCAACCAGAAAAATCCTAAATACTTTGCAGACTTACTTAACATGAAATCTAAATTTGAGGAATTACGCTGTATCCTAAATGTACAAAGTCTAGTTCAGAGTCTGTTTAGAAGCTATGTTAAGTTTTTCTTTTAAAGAAAATTTATACATAAATCTTATCTTTTTAAAATTTATTTAAAATACAGTTGAAATGTATATTTGTGGGGGAAATCTGATATAGTAAAATAACTATTAGAACACCTCTTAATGACTTTTTAAGAATGTCTTTTAAAAAATTAATGCAAATAATACTTTATGGTACAACAGTATGTTTAGGCAAAATAACCATTTCCTCACAAGAAGTTTTATATAATCTGTGGCACAAGTATTCAAAAAATTAACATTAAATTGATTTGAGCCCTAACTGGTTTCGCTCAGTGGATAGAGCGTCAGCCTGTGGACTCAAGGGCCCCAGGTTTGATTCCGGTCAAGGGCATGTACCTGTTGCGGGCACATCCCCAGTAGGAGGTGTGCAAGAGGCAGCTGATCGATGTTTCTCTCTCATCAATGTTTCTAACTCTCTATCCCTCTCCCTTCCTCTCTGTAAAAAAAATCAATATATTAAAAATAAATAAATAAATAAATAAATAAATAAATAAATAAATTGATTTGAACTGATTATAGTTTTATAGAAAAACAGACCTGAGATAATAGACTTCTAATGAAATATGCTTTTTAAATAGTAAATGAGCTCTTGAATCAGGTATCTTTTTCACCTTGGGGGCAACTCTTCTAATTTTGGTCTTTTAAAAAAAGAGAGAAAGAAAAGGCCCTGGCTGGGGTAGCTCAGTTGGTTAGAGCATTGTCCCAATATGCCAAGGTTGTGGGTTTGATCCTTGGTGAGGATTTGGAGTCAGGTCAGCCAATCAGTGCATAAATAAGTGAAACAAGAAATCCATGTTCTCTGTTTCCCTTCTTCTCTCTCTCGCTGTAAAATCAATAAATTTAACAAGAGAAAGAGAGAAAAGCATACAATATTATTACTTCATTGCTATCCCTAACCCTTTTAATTTTTCTCCTGGTTTTCATACCTGTACATCTAGTGTCAGTTCTTTGGAAAGGCCTCCCAACTTCTCTAGTTATACCTCTGAGAAGTATCATGGTTTGAGTGTTTTTTAATAAATGTTGTGTTTATTGGAATTTATTGTAAGGAAATTGGTTGTTCTTTGAACTTAACAGTATTCATGTATCTTTTGACAGGAATTAATATTTTCAGTGGAGGGTTTTAAGCCCTATGGCTGGTACCTTACATTAGTACAGTTTGCATTTTACTCCATATTTGGCCTAATAGAACTTCAGATTATTCAAGACAAAAGAAGAAGGTATGTGGTTTGTTTTTATTTTTTGACAGTTAAGTTCACTAGTAGTAATTAAATTTTGTTTTTTAGGCATTACAGAGTGTAATACATGAAATAAATGTAATAAAACATCTAATACCCAAGCATTTTTAGCAGTTTAATCAACTTATTAAAAATATTAAATATGATATTTTCATTATACATTGAAAAACGTAATCTCTAAGTATAAGTTACCAAATAAAAAATATAATTTAGGCTCAACATGTACATATATTTTGAAATGAGAAAGTATTCATATGTACATGTGTGTTTTTATAAATCTCACTGACATAGGTGTGATTACTGAAAGATTTACAGTGCTACTACATCAAAGTGGTGAATTGAAATACCAATACCTGTTTTTGTAGTGGTTTTTAAAATGTATAGTTAGGTTTTGTTTTGTGAGATATATTTCACTTAACATTGTCATACTTGTAATGTCCAGTGGCTGAAATTGCATTCTTAGACATCAGAGAAATTTCATAATATTCCTTTTCATCAAAACCAAAGGAGCTTGTTTGACAGTATGGGTTGTTTGTTTGTTTGTTTGTTTGTTTTATTTTTGTTAATCCTCACCTGAGGATACTTTTCCATTGATTTTTAGGGAGAGTGGAAGAGAGAGGAAAAGACAGAGAGAAACATTGATGTGAGAGAAACACATCGATTGGTTGCCTCCTGCACGAGCCCCACCAGGGCCCGGGCCAGGGAGGAGCCTGCAACCAAGGTACGTGCCCTTAACCGGGAGCCCAGGACCCTTTGGTCCATAGGCCGATGCTCTATCCACTGAGCCAAACCAGCTAGGGCTGACAATATGTTTTAAATGGGCCATCTGTATTGTAGAAACATCTCCATATATTTTAATGGCATATAGAACAATATACAATAAAACCTTGCCTCTGATTATAATTAGAAGGTGGTAAGGAAATTGAATATGTTTTTGGTAAGTGTGGTTATTCTGACATATCAGAGCCTAATATGTAAATATTTCACATATATATTAGGCAGTTTAAAGTGTAATAAGGCGTTCTGATACTGTACTGGTATTTTGTCTTCATTGATAGAAGTGTTTAATCCTTCAGTAAGAATATAAGATTTTCACAGCTTTTTTCTTTCATAAATGTTTTGAATGTTTGTATGGAGATAACTATAAAATTTTAAATATTTTAATTTGTATCTTCAGTATTTCTTCATGGGTCTAATTTTACCTCTCAATCTCTCTATATTGCCAATAAATTATTATAGCAGTGATATTAAAAATGTTTGAATGAGGATATCTTCTTCACTGTTTTCATGCTCTGAAACTCTGTAAGATTTAGCCATAGGTGATAGAATAGAAAATAATTAAATATATATGTCAAGACTAATACATAAGGAACCCTCATGATTCATTACCTATTGCAAACTGCTGGACTTCTGTTGTTTCTAAAGTAAAAGAATCTAATACTGTCTCTATTAAATGAAAAATGACAAAGGAACTGCATCTCCTCAATGTTAAATTTTAAAAAGGTACATCTCCTTCTCAGCTACCCAAATGAGATGGAGAGTGAGCCCGAAGCCATGTTTATCCCAACCATTAAACCACATGATCATACATATTTAAAGGTAACATCATTTGTTTGATTTAAAGAAAGTGAAGGGATTTGATAGTAGATGTATAAGAAATACAATTATGAATTGAAACCTTATTATTCTACAGCCCTTAAAAAACTTTTTATAAAATGTCTTTGGAGGTCTGTTACAGTGAAAGTACGCCTAATCTGATCTTTCTGAATTCATTTCTGAGAATAATTCATCTCTGAATTTATTTAACACGTTAAGCACCATGTCAGTCACCAACACTATACTTTCCATCCAAACCACGTCAGTCACTGTTGACTGACAATATACAGTTTAAAAAAGTATATTCTTCTATTAATTTTAAATAATTTGGAGATCTTAAAAGATCTTAAATATTACTTGTTACCAAAAAAAATTTTAATGAATATTATTAAAACACGGTATACACAAAAATGGCTGTCCTGTGCAGGTTTCACAGAATGTTATAACTTGTTTTGTCAACTTTCTGGCAATATCTAATCCAAATCATGCTGCATTATCTTCGTAGCATTTTTTACAATATCTTCGAACTTTAGACACTCTTCCAGTTTTTTGTTGCAGTTTGTGACGAGATATTTGAGGTATATTTACAGTACTGCTACTTGGAATTTCTTCATCCCGACAATTTGTTAGATGGACAGCTAATTTCTTCTGAAATTCTGTGATACTCATATACTTCTTGCTAATATTTTTAAATAAGATATGAGCATTGAGAACAGCATTATTTAGTAGGAGCTCAAAGGCTAGCTTTTTATAACTGCTGGGGTCTGACCCCAGCAGGTCCAGGGGTCCCCAAAGGTGTGGACGGAATCAGCGAAGAAGGAAGGACACGGAGACAGTGTTCAGTTGATCAGCAGCCCGAGTGTGGGGGTTCTCAATTGAGGGTGCTTACCTAGGGGAATCCTGTTCCAGGGGTTCCCAAAGGTGTGGACGGAGTCGGCAAAGACTATCCACCCTCTTCCTACGGTGGAGTCCGATCCGTCCCGATTGTGGGGCAAAGACTATCCACCCTCTTCCTGCGGTGGAGTCCTATCCGTCCCGAGTGCGGGGCGCTTACCTGGGGGTCCCTGTTCGGGCGCCATATGCGGGGGTCCCACCCCAGCAGGTCCAGGGTTCCCCAATAGTGTGGATGGAGTCGGCGAAGAAGGAATGACACGGAGACAGCGTTCAGTTGATCAGCAGCCTAGCCAGGATCTCCAGCGAAGTTCTGGTTAGGATCTCCAGCCAGGTTCTGTGTCCATGTTCTGTAGCCATGTTCCCTCGCTAGGTTCTCCAGCCAGGTTCAGTCACCAGGTTCTAGTCAGGTTCTCTTGCCAATTTCTGTAGTCAGGTTCAGTCCAGGATCTTTTGCCATGTTCTCTCCAGCAAAGTTCTTCTGTCTCTAGGTCCTGTGTAGGTTCTGTCTTCTAAGTTCTGACTTCTAAGTTCTGTGTGTAGGTTCTGTCTTCTAAGTTCTGTGTTCTAAGTTCTGTGTTCTAAATTCTGTGTTCTAAGTTCTGTGTTCTAAGTTCTGTGTCTTGCTGTCTTATTACATCTGTATTTATACCAGTTGATTCAATCCTATCAATCTCTATTACAAAGGTTAGGGCGTTTCTTATCTCCATTCCAGGGAGTAAAGATTATGTAGCTTAAGCATGATTGTTCATAGTTAAAGTGATTAATTACCCGCCTGGCACTTAGTTAAGAGGTTTTATTCCCTCCCTAACTTCAGGGGAAAATCCCTACCTGGGGAAACACCCTTTCTCAGAGACCTTGGTTAAAACACATAGTGCCAAGAAGGTGAGCAAACAAATTAAGAACAGTATGCCATATATGCCAGGTCCCTTGAAACAGCAAGCAGGGACAGGCTCCCGACAAATTCCCCCTTTTTTATTTTTTAAAAGCCAGGCATTAAAAAGAAAAACCCCAAATGCTCTCTTGTATCCATTTTAAGAGTAGGATTGGCGCTTTCCGCTATTACCTGAGTCCTGATCTATCACCCCAGGGAGAGCTTGCCAATCCTGCACTTTCCCGGGGTGGAAAGGCTGCAGTGGGGTTAAGGATGAGGCTCCTTGGGTCTACCTCCTCCCATGCCTTTACATTTACCTTTCCTTCCTCAGAAAAGCATGGACATACTTCTTGTATAAAACATTCGGTCTGACTGGGAGTAACCTTAGTTCCTCTGCTAGCAAGCATATGTGTTAAAAGATCAATACAGAGTCTTTTTTCTTTAGACTCAGTATGGCACATCTTCTTAATCTAAAGATCAATACAGAGTCTTCTTTCTTTGGACTCAGTATGGCACATCTTCTCAATCTAAGTTCTGTACTATCCACCTTTTTACCCTACTTATCCTCTATAGGGGGGGGGGTCTGCAGTACCCTGGTGGAGTCCTATCCGTCCCGAGTGTGGGGTTCTCAATGGGGGGGTGGGCTTACCTAGGGGAATCCTGTTCCAGGGGTTCCCAAAGGTGTGGACGGAGTCGGCGAAGACTATCCACCCTCTTCCTACAGTGGAGTCCTATCCATCCCGAGAGTGGGGCTTACCTAGGGGTCTCTGTTCGGGCGCCAGATGCTGGGGTCCAACCCCAGCGGGTCCAGGGGTCCCCAAAGGTGTGGACGGAGTCGGCGAAGAAGGAAGGACACGGAGACAGTGTTCAGTTGATCAGCAGCCTAGCCAGGATCTCTAGCCAGGATCTCCAGCCAAGTTCTGGTCTGGATCTCCAGCGAAGTTCTGCTTTGGATCTCCTGCCAGGGTCTGTGTCCATGTTCTCTTGCTAGGTTCTCCAGGTTCTCCAGCCAGGTTCTGTAGCCATGTTCCCTCACTAGGTTCTCCAGCCAGGCTCTGTCCAGGTTCTCCAGCCAGGTTCAGTCACCAGGTTCTAGTCAGGTTCTCTTGCCGATTTCTGTAGTCGGGTTCAGTCCAGGATCTTTTGCCATGTTCTCTCCAGCGAAGTTCTTCTGTCTCTAGAGAACGTTCTGTGTAGGTTCTGTGCCTCCTGGTTCTGTCTTCTTCTCGTTCTGTCTTCTTACATCTGTATTTATACCAGTTGATTCCAATCCTATCAATCTCTATTCCAAAGGTTAGGGTGTTTCTTATCTCCATTCCAGGGAGTAAAGATTATGTAGCTTAAGCATGATTGTTCGTAGTTAAAGTGATTAATTACCCGCCTGGCACTTAGTTAAGAGGTTTTATTCCCTCCCTAACTTCAGGGGAAAATCCCTACCTGGGGAAACAACCTTTCTCAGAGACCTTGGTTAAAACACATAGTGCCAAGAAGGTGTTTTTTGTTGCAGTTTGTGACAAGATATTTGAGGTATATTTACAGTACTGCTACTTGGAATTTCTTCATCCCGACAATTTGTTAGATGGACAGCTAATTTCTTCTGAAATTCTGTGATACTCATATACTTCTTGCTAATATTTTTAAATAAGATATGAGCATTGAGAACAGCATTATTTAGTAGGAGCTCAAAGGCTAGCTTTTTATAACATTTCATGGGTGTTCGTAATTTGATAAATACATCAACTGCTGCTTTTCCTGCATTATAATCCACAACAATTTTTGGTTTCAAGTCGTGACCTGATCTAGTTTCAACATTCACCATCTCTGACATATGTTTTATTGAAAGAAGTAAGATGTTCTGCTTATCTTTCCATTTTAAACTGGTTATTCCTCTTTGTTCTCTTTTGCTATAATTTTCCCCTGTTTTAATTTCTTTGATGTTACTTCATGAGGATTTCCCCGTCAATCTGAACGTAATGTTCCTACTAAATGAGTATTATTATCTAGTAATTTATATGGTAAATCTAAACTCGTGTACCACTTGTCTGTGTACAACGTGTGTCCCTTATTGAATACATCTCTACAGAGAGACATTACAACATTAGTTGGTGTCGTATTTTCTTTTTCTAAACTTTTCCCTGCATATACATGAAAAGCATATGTATACCCAGATCTGCAGTACAACTTAAATAACTTAATACCATATTTGTGTCATTTTTGTTTTAAATATTGCCTAAATATTATGCGGCCACGAAATGGTATCAAAGATTCATCGGTACATATAGCTTCAGATGAATCATACTATTTTTTGAAATTTATTTCCATGTTATCTATTAGTTGTTTTATTTTGCATAAATGATTGGAAACATCTGTCTCCCTATCGTCTGAAAAATGCAGCATTCGTAATATTTCAAATCTATTTCTTGACATTTTTTTCGGGAAAGTTTGCATATATGCAGGATCACGGGACCAATATACATGTAAAGATGGTAGTCTTACTAGTCCCATCCATAGAATCACCCCAAAAAATCTTTTCACTTCATTTTTGTTTGTCACAGTCCACCTACACAAACGCTGCGAGTTTTCAACCCCTAGTTTTTGCGACGCATATAAAGTTTGGCGACATCCTCAAACAATTCATTAGGCACAAACAGTCCATAAGAATTGTCTACTGTTGCACATGACTTTACATTCAAGTCTTCAACCCTAAAGCCAGACAGATTGGTGAAAGCATAATTCTTGGTTGATTACCTCTCAGATCATGCCATTCTTCAAAATCCTCATCCTCATCCTCTGATGACAAAAAACGACTCTATGACGTTTTTTAGGAAAACTAATTTCATTTGAATCGCTTTCACATGCTTCTTCTACAGTCATTGTCACTGTTATGGATAAAGAAAAAATTTTTAAACTGCACTGGAACACAAACCACAGACAACTGACTGAAGAGAAAGCATTTCTAAAAGAATACAGAGTACAGATTGCGATAAATACAAGAAATAAATCTGAAAATATAGGTGCAGTCTTATCGAACCTTACACAGATCTCCGGCCGCCAGCGTATCAGTGAAATCGGATATCGCAGGCTAAATGGAAAGGAAGACAAAACAGGCGTGGCGCTTAACGTGTTAAGTGGCACTGCTCTATAGACCTTTGCTTAGTTTTTGTCTTTATTTTTATGAATACCAGTGTACTTGAAAGAATAGAGGATTTGGAGTCAGAAAACAGGGCTTTGAGTCTTGCACTGCCTCTAATCAGCTCTGTCAAGAGCTTGGGGAAGTTTCTTAACTTTTCTCTGTTGCATTTTGAGAATCAAATGTGGTACATGTGTGGTGAAGCACATGGTACAGTATAATACCCTAAATATACCACTTGTTATTTTACAACAAAGATTACCTTGTAACTTTATTACTTTAAGTTACAATTTTCCCACCATATCTAAGGAAGTATACAATTAGGATGTTAAATAAAAACAGAAACAAGGAGAATCCCACAGGCAAGATGATGAACTCAAATTTCCTCATTTACCAATGAGAAAACAGACCTACAGGAGTGCTGGGATTTTCATGAGTTCATATAGCAAGTTGCTCTCAGAATTGGGCCTTTTGAATTTAGGTTTTTTGAGTTTCAGGCTGGGTTTTTTTTTTCTACCTGTTCTATGCTGCTTTTCTAATCATTCCTTGTGATTTTTCTGGCTGGAATCTTTTATTTTCTGGCCATTGTTTGACTAACGTGATGTCTATCCTTACCGAGAGAAGCAGAGCTGTCCTGCTTCCCTGATGGTATGCACTGGGGATTAAACCCCACGAACAGAGTAAAAATCAGTGTTCATGTACACTGATGCATATGGGCATGCCAAATTATTTCCATGTGACTTTAAATGTTGACCACTGTATTAGTAGTTAAGTAGGAAAAGGCCTCAAAATTGAAATGTAAGTGGAAATGGTGCATTCTAATTGAATTTCTCCAGTAAATTATTTTGCCTTACATCTAGCCATATTAAAATATGAAAGAATTTTGTTCCCTTGATTTAAACATGAACACAAATCCCAAAATAGAAACTAGATCTAAGGAGGCAGCATAATGTAATTATGTGAACAGTGCTTCCTGTGTTAGTCACACCAATGTACAAGAGTATTATTTTAGACCATTAAATATCTACTCAAAGTGAGCATATGCTCACAGTGATAGCTCAAAATTCTGAAGATGCCAAATTAAGAATTTTCTTTAGAAAATCCAAATAGAACTCAAAGTAGAAGATTTGGGATCATAACAAGAGAGATTCCTCATCAGAAAGTTGGTGGTTTTAACATTTTACAGAATACAGACAGAAATAAATCATAAGTTATTATAGTAATAAGTAGTATGTCCAGAGTTTTAAACATGTAATTTTTCTAGAGAAATTCTGCTCGGGTTACTCTAGCAGAATGGGTGGATGTACTTTTCCTAATGCTAGATGGAAACATTAAAAAACAACAATTTAGAAGTTATAAATTAATTAAGGTGCCTTTTACCATTATAAAGGCCCAAATTTATTGTTTTTTCTAAATTTAGTCAAGATAGTTTTTATACCTTATACCTACAGTAAGAATGTAAGTGGCTCTGTAATATACCACTTTTTCACACAGTTGGGAGTTCTCAATTAAGATTGATTGAATAAGGGTGAATCATTATTTTTAGTGATATTCTTTTATATAATAAACAATGCTATAACTTAACCAATATTTCTAAAAATACTAAACAGAAATAAAAAGAGTAAGTAGACATTTACACATTGTAAAGACATTATCTAACAAGTATGAATTGGATCCCAAAATGAAGATTTTAAAAATTGTCTTTTACAGAATACCAGGAAAAACCTACATGATAATAGCTTTTCTTACTGTGGGTACTATGGGGTTATCAAATACTTCTTTGGGCTACCTGAATTATCCGACCCAAGTCATCTTCAAGTGCTGCAAGTTGATTCCTGTAATGCTAGGAGGAGTTTTTATTCAAGGTATAGTAATGATGTATTTTCATCCTGTTGGAAACTTGTAGGCTATGTTATAGCATCTAGCATTAGGAAAAATATTAAACTTTGGTCAATTTAATGAACATTCTAGATATTACAACAATTCTGAGTGATATCACAAAATAAGGTATTATAAAAATACTAAAACTTGTGATCTACTTTAGTATCTGAAATCAATAATTTGGACTCAGAATAAAAGTAGTGTTTTGTTTTATTCTTTTAGTCTGGAGTCTGCTTACATTTCAAGAAATACTATATTCACATATTAAAAGTATAGCTCAGAAGCACCTAAGTACCTGGAAAGCTCCTTTTTTCAGTTCTTCCAGTCCTGTACTCTTCAGGGCTCTGTCTCTACCTCCTTATACAAATGGGCTGTTCTCATGTTGAAGTAAAGCTTAAATGAAGCAGAACTGCTGTTTTACCAATTCTGCTGGCTTCTTGATTTCCTAGAGCCCCAATCAAGTTACAAGCTCTTTGGAAATAGCAGTAAAAAAGGAGGCAATCAAAGCAAGAAGCAGCAGAACAAGTTGTTCATATCACTGTCATGAGGAATGCTCATGTGTTGATAATCAAGTGTTTCCGTATCACTAAGTGTTTCTGTATCACCAACATCCTTATACAACCTGACTTCATTTTATCCATTAGATGTCTTCCCAAAAATCCCTTTTAATGAAAGCATGTCTGTCAACTACTTTGCATATAATTTCAGGATAACTATTCACACAGGAAAAAACAATGATCTCAGTCCCTATTAAAAACCACATTTAATGCGATAACTAACTGAGCATGTATGATATTTCCTTACGTTCCTTCCAAGAAGTTACAACATGGTTTTGTTATTTAAATGTGACTATATTAAAATAAGTTAATACTCGCTAACCTATTAGTTATTTGATTATGGTATTTGTAAATTTAACAGTTATATAGCCTGAATATTATATATAGCCTGGTTATTCTGTAAATTTGTAAACTAGAAGAAAATTCATAGCTGTATATTATACATAAGGAAAAGGAGGCATTAATTTTCATAAACTTTTTAAATGTTCATATTAAGTTCCATAAGCTTTTTAAATGTTCATATTTACTCACTACCATAACAGATAATATAGACTTTCATATCTAAAACATCAGTGCTTGCTGATCATTTAATTTTCAGAAGATCTGTGACTATCTCATGCCTTGACCTCAGTGTTCTTCATATATTTTTGACATTAGATATAAAAAGACTCCTGACCTCCTTGGTTAAACACATAGATCTAAAACTATGCTGAGTGAGTCTTTCCATTCTGAGGTTGACTTACATTTCTATCACACAGGCAAGCGTTACAATGTTGCAGATGTGTCTGCTGCGGTGTGTATGAGCCTTGGCCTGATATGGTTTACACTTGCTGACAGCACAATTGCACCCAATTTCAACCTAACAGGTAAGGAATTTTTTTGTCTTCCTAGATTTTGTAGGCAGTTCGGTTTACAGTAAGAATTTTTACAACTTCGTAAGGATTTTAAATGATGGTGTGACATCTATAAGTCTCATACCTAACATAAAGCTTTCAGACTTTCCAAATAAGATGTAGTAAAAATATTACAACTCTGGAAATATAGCAATTGTTTTTAGTACAAATGTATTCTGATGTGACAGAAAGTTGTTTGCTCAATAAAAATTTTCTGTTATCAAGTACAGTACATGGTAGACCGATTTCTTATGGCTGAATTGGAAATACACACATGAATTATAGGGGAATTACAGTAATTTTTTTATTCTCATTTTTTTAAGTTGAAACTTACACATTTATTTGTCACTGTTTTAGCTAAAGAGGGAAGTGTATGCTGTGCTTAAGTATTAATCTGGGTGATATAAATATGATCATAACCTTAACATGCTTAAAGTTTCCACAGTAGTGTGCCATGTGGAATTTTGTAAATTAATTTTAGATTTTTTTTCATGAGCAGAATAGGTATTATAATATGTTTGGAAATAAATAAGAATAAAAAAATGTTAGAATCTTGTTTCCATTCTAACGATTTTATGGAGAAACTGTTTATATATACTTATTGTCATTCTTAACTATTTAGTTTTACTTATAAAATTATTTTAGTATCATCCCATTTCCCCATCTCCTAACCTGATAAAAATTGTATTTAAAATATCTAAGTCTTCCAAGAAACTCTGAGAGAACAGAAAAAAAATGTATATTACATATATATTACATATAGTACAAAGTATAGTAAGTATAATTATTTATGAGGAAAAAGTATTACATAATGAAGAAAGTAATTTACATCAGCTTCATTATTCTTACCTGTTGTTAGTCAACCTTTCTTACTAATCTGTTTAATCAGGCTAAGTTAAGGGATTTAAATTTAACCAGTTCAGCTTCTTAGAGCTGTCAGTTAAGAACCAGAAGTAGAGCCTCTTATATCTGTTCTGTCACCTTGGATCATTCTGTGCAAGTGGTCCTTACTTCAATGAGTTTTACTCAAAGAAAACTTACTGTTGCAGGTGTTTCTCACGTGGTTTAGATTTTTCAGAAACACTTCATTTTCATATCTGCAAATCTAAAAGGAAGAGTATATTTGAAAACTGAGAAAATTGACTCTTACTTGAGGAAAAGGCAGTTTTAGACAAGGCACAGAACTTGCTATCAGTGACATGCCTTCACATTCTGGTCTGTTCACTTAGAAATATAACCATGGCTAAAGTGCCACCTCCCTTTGCGCTTTTCTTATCCAGAGGTAATGGTGATAGTGTGCCTCACACGCAGGTGGTGAGAGGACAGAATGAGATGATGAAGTAATGGGTGTGAGAGTACGTACCCTTGGTGGGATGGGATGATGGTGGTGATGATAATTATGGAAAGAGGTGGTCTGTAACTTCTCACTATAACTGAAGTGCTAATTCTGTCTGAGTTACATAGAAATACTTGTTAAGAGAATTAGAACCTAACCCTATTTTATAATCTACTAGAGGCCCAGTGCACGAAATTCATGCATGGGTAGGATCCCTAGTCCTGGCCAGAGATCAGGGCCAATCTGTGGGGCGACCGGCAGGGCGATCGGGGGCACCCGCCTTGGCTGGCCTGGTGCCGCCCGCTTGCCGGCCTTGCCCCTTGCCACCGCCACCGCCAATCACCTTCCTCTGCGGGGCGACCAGGGGATCCCCGCTGGCACACACCTTGGCTGGCCTGAGGCCTACAGGCTGGGGGCAGCTCCTGCATTGAGCATCTGCTCCCTGATGGTCAGTACACATTATAGTGACCGGTCTTTCCACCGTTCATTTCTCAGTTCAGAAGATTTGCATATTAGGCTTTTATTATATAGGACTAGAGGCCCGGTGCACAAAAATTTGTGCACTCGGGGGGGGGGGGGGAAGGGAGGTCCCTCAGCCTGGCCTGTGCCCTCTCGCAGTCTGGGACCCCTCGGGAGATAACGACCTGCTGGCTTAGGCCCGCTCCCGGGTGGCAGAGGGCAGGCCTAATCCCTAGGTGCAGCCCCTGGTGGGGCTTAGAGCAGGGCTGATTGGGGAGTTGAGGCACCGCCCCCTGTCATGCACAGAGCAGGGTGGATTGGGAGGTTGCGATGCCACCCTCAGTCATGCTCAGAGTAGGGCCGATTGGGGGATTGGGGCACCGCCCCCTGTCACACTCAAGGCAGGTTCGATGGGCAGGTTGCGGCGCCACGCCCTGTCACTCACAGAGCAGGGCCAATCAGGGGGTTGGGGCGCTGCCCCCTGTCACGCACAGAGCAGGGCCCATCAGGGGGTTGGGGAGCTCCCCCCTGTCACTCACAGAGTAGGGCCGGATCAGGGGGTTGGGGCGCCGCACCCTGTCACACTCAGGGCAGGGTCGATGGGGAGGTTATGGCTCTACCGCGTCACACACAGAGCAGGGCCCGTGGGGGGCGGTTGGGGCGTCGCCCTCTATTACCCACAGAGCAGGGCCGATCAGGGGGTTGGGGCGCCGCTGCCACTCTCACACTCAGGGCAGGGCCGATGGGGAGGTTATGGCTCTACCCCATCACACACAGAGCAGGGCCCGTGGCGGGGAGGGGTTGGGGCGCCGCACCCTGTCACACACAGAGCAGGGCCGATCAGGGGGTTGGGGCGCCCCACCCTTTCACACGCAGAGCAGGGCCGATCAGGGGGTTGGGGCACCTCAGCCTGTCACACACAGAGCCGCAGGGCAATCAGGGGGTTGGGAGCTCCCTCCATCAGGCACAGAGCAGGGTTGATCAGGGGGTTGGGATGTCTTCCCCTGTCATGAACAGAGCAGGGTGGATAGGGAGGTTGTGGCCCCGCCCCCTGTCACACACAGAGCCGCAGGACAATCAGGGGGTTTGGGCGCTGCCCCCTGTCATGCTGATCCCAGTGCTGGGAGGCATATTACCCTTTTACTATATAGGATAGAGGCCTGGTGCACGGGTGGGGGCCGGCTGGTTTACCCTGAAGGGTGTCCTGGATCAGGGTGGGGGTCCCCACTGGGGTGCCTGGCCAGCCTAGATGAGGGGATTATGGCTGTTTGCAGCTGGTCACACACCCTTCAGGTTGGGGGTCCCCACTGGGGTGCCTGGCCAGTCTGGGTGAGGGGCTGAGGGCTGTTTTCAGGCTGGCGGGTGACTGAAGCTCCCAACCGCTCCTTTTTTTTTATTCTGGGCCAGCTTTAGCTCTGAGGCCTTGGCTGCTGAAAGCAGGTTTCTGGCCTTTGTTTACCTTCTGTATTTGAAACAATGTTGCGATCCTGCTGGCTGAAGCCCCACGACTAAAGCAGGTTTCTGGGGTTTTGTTTAGCTTCTGTATTTGTAACATAATTGCTTAGAGTTGCAGCTCAGAGGCCGGCAGCGGCAGGCGGGGAACGTTGGAGTCCTCCGTCACTGAAGCAAGCAAGCCTCATGTTCGTTTTAAGCTGCCTGGCTGCTGGCTGCCATCTTGGCTGGCAGTTAATTTGCATATCGCCCTGATTAGCCAATGGGAAGGGTAGCGGATGTACGGCTAATTCCATGTTTCTCTTATATTAGATAGGATAATAATAAAAGTGTAATATGCAAATCAACCAGACAACCAAACAGAAGAACCACCATCCGGAGAACCTTCCGGACGACCAAGCTATGACACCCATTGGCACCAGGCCAGCCAAGGCAGGTGCAGTGCCATTGGTTGGGGAGTCTCGCCATCGCCCCACGATTGCCCCGCAGGGGGAGGCCCAGGCCACCCTCTGCGGGGTGATTGATGCGGGGCTCCATGATCAATCGCACCAAAGAAGGAAACCTCATCCACCCTCTGTGTGGCGTTCGGTCGCAGAGCCCTGGCTGGGTGGGAAGGGCTTCCCTCTGCTGGGCGATCAATCGTGGAGCCCTGTGATCGATCACCTCAAAGAGGGAGGCCCAAGCTACCAGGCCGGCAGCACTGCAGCAGGTAGGCGGGGCCTCCCTCTGTGCAGCGATCCATCTGGGCGCCCCACAATCGATTGCCCCACAGAGGGAGGCCCAGGCCACCAGCCAGCAATCCTGTGGCGAGTGTGTGGGGCCAGCCATCGATCGCCCTGCAGAGGGAGGTCCAGGCTAGTCAAGTGATCGCACCTCACGCCTATGCTCGCAGAGGGAGGTGACCGGTGGTGGCGGAGGGAGGGGCAGCACCACACAGATGGCAAGCAGTGGCAGCAGCGGGGGCAGGGCCAGCTGCCGGCAGCCCGGGGAAGGAAAGCCCCGATAGGCCCTGATCACCGGCCAGGCCTAGGCACCCCACCTGAGGGGTCCCAAATTGCTAGAGGATGCAGGCCGGGCTGAGGGACACTACCTCCCTTCCCCCCCACCCCTTCACGAATTTCATGCACTGGGCCTCTAGTTAATAATAGTTGAGCATTTATCATAATCCCTGATCTATAAAAGTATATTATCTAAAGGAGATTAATTAACTACTAAAATGGTTAAGATAGACATAAATAAAACTTTGAATGTATAAAGGGGTATATCAGACTTACTTATTCCATAAATATCCACCTTTAGGATGCAATTCAGGTATTTTCTTTTTATTTATTTTTTAATTTATCTTTGTTGTTGGAAGTGTTACAGATGTCTCCCTTTTTCCCCATTGACACCTTCTAGCCCCCTCCTCCTGCCCCCATAAATCAAGTATTTTCATAAAATTTTTTCAGCTTTTTATAATGGCCAGTGAGGCTCTGTTGGTTGGGCATTGTCCTGTGCACCGAAAACTTGCCAATTCGATTCCCAGTAGGAGGCATGTAGGAGGCAGCCCATTGATACTCCTCTCTCACATCAATGTTTTTCTCTCTTTCTCTCCCTCTCTAAAAAAAACACACACACACAAAAACAATAAAAAATCTTTTTTTAAAAAAGTACTTCATGTTGTTTCCATTGTTCAGAACACTTTTGAGATGTCTTTTAGGAACTAGGCCATGTTTTCAGGATCTTCAATAATACCATGTTTTTTTCTTTTGAGGGTAGATTTGATATTTGAAACAAGAAAAAGCATTTAGAATCAAGTTTGATGAATAAAAATGCATGGATAGGTAAAATACCTAAGTTAAGTTATAAAAAGCCAAATTGAAGAATAAGTATGAAAACTTGAAAAGTCTCAGTTATAAGTGCATATCCTTAAATTTCATCAGACTCACAATTGTAACCAAGGCTGCTCTTTATTCTTTCTGTAAAGGACCGTGCCTGGTGACCAGTATCTAAACACTTGCAGATTAGAGCCTGCTTCTCCAGAGACACTCACGTTTGTATGAGTGTGTTGATTTCTGGATTTGTTTATGCCATTTAGGCCTGTTATTAAAATTATGAAATAATTAAATATTTACTTGAATTATTCAAAACTGAGTGTGGCTCAGTGTTTAGAGCTTTGGCCTTTGCACCAAGGGGTATTGGGTTCGATTCCCAGTCAAGAGCATGTACCTGGGTTGCAGGTTCAATCACTGGCCCTGGTTGGAGTGTGTGCAGGAAGCAGCCAATCTATGTGTCTCTCTCACTTTGATATCTCTCTCTCTCTCTCTCTCTCTCTCTCTCTCTCTCTCTCTCTCTCTCCCTCCCTTCCTCCCTTCCACTCATTCTAAAAACCAATGGAAAAAATATCCTCAGGTGAGGATTAACAACAGTGGAAAAAACAGTTGAGTTTGAAGAAAGAATTGTTTCTGTAAAAACTAAGTTAATTGAAACAATTTGGTTGACAAGTTAATAAAATCAGTGTTGAATTACATTTGGATGGAATAACTATAAAAATTGGGGATATCATATAAATATGAAAGGATTCTGCACCCTAATTGTTTCAGAAGTTCCTGAGTTTTTGGTGTACTTTTTTAAATTCCAGGGTTCATGATAATTTATAGATAGATTGATTGATTGATAGATAGACAGACAGACAGACAGACAGATAGATAGATAGATAGATAGATAGATAGATAGATAGATAGATACTTTTTAACCAGAACAACTTGGAAATCATAGAGAGTTGTTTTATGAGTGTGGTTTAAACAAAAGAGAAAGTGCAGAATTTTAGTACCTCTATTGAAAGAAAAGGCCTTCACAACTGTATGCATGTTTGTGTTTTAAATTAAACATTTTAATAATTTTATTTTTTAATGATTTCCCTCTCCATCTGACTAACCACCAATCCCAGTAAATGTAGGAATTTCTTCTATATTTATTTAATACAGTATACCTTTCAAACATAAAATCTAGTTTAAACACAGAACTATTATTTGACAGGAGAGTGAAGCATAGTAATGGTGATAGCATTAATGCAGTTTCTTAGTGTTAGCTACTTTTTTTTATTAACATCACCTATGTGGCTTATGTGCCTGTTACAACTGGTTGTGGATAAAAATGCTCAGCTTTATGAAACAAATGTGAATAAGATCTGCTTTTATTTTTTAGCCCAATTGCATCTCTGAAAACTCTTGATTCTCATTCATATGTTTAAATAAGGAGGTTGTGTTTTTCTTGTGCCTTCCTGAAGGTGTGATCCTTATTTCCCTGGCACTATGTGCTGATGCTGTTATTGGAAATGTTCAAGAGAAGGCTATGAAACTGCATAACGCCTCTAACTCAGAAATGGTAAATATTCTAGTGTTTTTTTTCTTCACAACACACAGACTAAAAATGGTGATATATTTAACTTTATGAAATAGTTATGGTATTGAATACTGGCGTTGCATTTTAAAACTAGTTTATCGTTTTCCTAGCTGGTTTGGCTCAGTGAATAGAACATCGGCCTTCAGGTTTAATTCTGGTGAAGGGCACATGCCTGGGTTGCAGCCTCCATCCCCAATAGGGGGCTTGCAGGAGACGGCCAATCAATGACTCTCTCTCATCATTGATGTTTCTATCTCTCACTCTCCCTTCTTCTCTGAAATCAATAAAAATATATTGTTTTAAAAACCAAAAAACTAGTTTATCATTATTTTCATAAAAGTAATGCATTCAAACATAGGAAGGTAAAAAAATAAAAATGCTACTACCACTGCTAATAGCTAATGGTATGGTATTTGATAAATTTTTCCTCAATGATTTATACTTTTTACATATTAAAAAGATCCTTTGATACATAATTTTTCTCCTATCTTTGTATTTGGTATTATTTTCCATTTAGAAGTTTGTAATTTTTATGTGGTCAGGTTTATCTTTTCTTCATGGCTTCTGGCTATATATTATGATTGAAACAGGCTTTTCTAACACTAAGATTTAAGAATTTTACTGATGTTGCCTATTAATTTTATGATTTCCTTTTAAAAAAAATTTTATACATACATATATATATATATATTTTATTGACTTCAGAGAGAGGAAGGGAGAGGGAGAGAAAGATAGAAACGTCAATGATGAGAGAGAATCCATTGACTGGCTGCCTCCTGCACGCCCCCAACTGGGGATAGAGCCCACAACCCGGGCATATGCCCTTCACCGGAATCAAACCTGGGACCCTTCAGTCCACAGGCCAATGCTCTATCCACTGAGCCAGACCAGCTAGGACTGTTTTATTAAAGCTTTGATCCACTCAAAACTTTAAAAATTTTCTTCCATATGGTTGTTCACTCATCCCAATATCACTTACTGAATAATCCACTTTTTTAGCTTATTTTAAGTGCCTTCTTTATTACTTCATATTCTAACTTAGCATCCAGAATTATATTCTTTTATATTTATGTCTGTACCAGAACCATATGATGACAGTAGTTTTATCCAACATTTACCATCTATTAGGACTAGCCACCATTGTTCCTTTTATTTTTCAGAATATTACTATCAATAGTTATTCTTGGGTATTCATGTCCCCAAATAAAGTGGAAATGTAAGTTTTCTTCATATAAATCTAGCATATTTCTTTTGAAGTTAATGTTAGATGTTTCACCTTTTTGCCATTGTTACTGCAAATAATGCCTTTTCTTCCAGTGTATCTTCTAACTGGTCGGTATTTGTATATAGGAAAGTTGTGTGTGTGTGTGTGTGTGTGTGTGTGTGTGTGTGTTTACATTCACTTTATAGCCAGCCAACTTGCTAGAGAGACAGAGCAGACTGCATAAAGGAGTTACAGGACTGGCCTTTCCTGTTTCTTTGTCAGTATAGTGGGAGTTACTTTAATCTTGTCATCATTTCCTTGATCATCATCATCACTAGTTCTAGATAAGGTAAAGAAAAAATAATTAAGGAAGTGTAAGTAATCAGAAAGTTAATGTAGTACAGTGGTTATGACCATAGGCTCTGGTCTGAGATGGCTTCAGTTCATATCCTATTTTTCCTAGCCCTCTTGTTTGGTGAAGATGACAATATATGTTTTAGTTTCTTCATCTGAAAATTGGGAAATGATGATTAAACGTACTAACGTCATAGGTTGGTTATGAGAAATAAATGTAATAATTGATATAGGGCATTAGTAGTACATAACAGTTATTTAAGTTTGTTTCTGTTTCTGCATACGAGGAGTGTAATACATTGGGATAGAAAGCTTGGTAGGAAAATTGAGAAATTAAGCAATAAATATGCAGTATACTGCTTATTTTTGTTATATTTTAATGTCTTTGCAAACTTAACGTTTGGGTTCTTTTATGTTAATAAGTAGCTGTAAAGGTTTTTTGTTGTGTTTGTGTATGTTTTTAGAATCCCAACATTCAAATCTGGTTTGACTTTAGTAATTAAACCAGTCAAAAAATGAATAATTATGGAACTGTTGTAGGCTACAGGAAAGGCACCAGGTGTTAGGCCAGTGAGGTCAGGCCGGACCTGGGTTCAGCAACCTTGGTACTTGGGGTCTGGCTAGACAAAGACCCAAACTGTAAGAGAACATCTATGTATAAAAGGCTAATATGCTAAGTGTCCGACCGTTCAACCGGTAGCTATGACACACACTGACCACCAGGGGGAAGACGCTCAGTGCACAGGCATGGAAACATGGAACAGACTGATGAATCTCAGAGAGAAGGGGGGAGGTGAAGGGCAGGAAGAGATTAACCAAAGATCTTATATGCACACTAGAGGCCTGGTGCACAGATTCATGCACAGGTGGGGTCCCTCATCCTGGCCTGTGGGGATCGGGCTGAATCCATGCACTGGGCCTCTAGTTTATTTATAAAGTCACAAAGGTAGAAGAAGTAATTTGTAAAAGAAATAGGCTTAGGAAACAAGTTATAAAGGTAAAGGAAGGGCCCTTGGAGCTTGGGAGTAAAAAAGGTAATGATAACATGCCTGGGGGGACAGTGAGGGAAGGGAAAAGCTCACTGGGTCCTCAGTGCTAAAAGGTTTTAGGGGAGGTCCCAGGAGAAGATCTCATGGAATATTCAGCAGCTTTCCAAGTGGGTCCTTTCAGGGTCTAGGTCTCCACTAATTGATTGGTGTGCACACGGGCAGGGGGTTATTAGTCAGTGCAGCCAGTTGGTCCTGAGGTCAGCCGCATGTCCCTTGACTGGTTTTGCTGCTTTTCTGGGCCAGGAGCTGAAATACAATTGAGGCCTGGATGTTATCTCTAGGAAGAAAGGTCAGGAAATCCAACTGAAAGGTCACCCTGGAGGTGAGGGCCCACCCTACAGTTGTCCTTTTCTAGGCACCTGGCACTTTCTACCCCAGTGACCTTCTGTACCTGGCCCATCATCCTTGCTCTGCTCCTGTCTGTCTAACTGCCTGCCACAGAACCATATATGAAAGGGTTAGTACTGCTGTGTTATATTGCACATAAAATAAAGCGTAGACTTTTAAAGAGGATCAGCCATCATTTCCAGAAAGTTAAGCCATATTGAAACAATGATGTTACTTTAAAAATGGTTTGTTCTACAAATTTAATTTAATAGATTAATTGAGCCACATGTTGAAAATCCTTCATTTTCTACCTTTGGTTTAATATCACTTTTTTCCATTTTATTTTTGTCTACTCTAGGTTTTGTATTCGTATTCAATCGGTTTTGTGTACATTTTATTGGGATTGACATGCACCAGTGGATTAGGCCCTGCAGTAACATTTTGTTCAAAGGTAAACACTAATCACATTTTCAAAAATAAACATCTTTCATTAAATAGTGTCCTCTGTATATCTGATTCCCCTTGTTCAAAGTACTATTTTTATGTAATTTGGTCACTCCTTTATATGTAGATCAAAAATTATTTCAGAATTGAAATAATTTATACTTAAATTTGTTTTATCCTTGTTCTACTCTATAGTGTAATGTTTAAGCTATTAATGATGTAGAAGTTGTGGATTTTAAATTTCATCACTGTTTTTCCATTAAATCAGAACTAAATAAGAATCTTTGCTTGACTGCATTATTTGAATGGCTTATTATTGCTCAATAAGTTGATGAAAGTGTGGTTTTATTTCATTTGTAATACCTCAGGGTTTGTTTTGCATTTTTCTCACAGGCTTTTTTATATGTTGCAGAATCTAATGCGAACCTATGGTTATGCTTTTCTTTTTTCCCTCACTGGGTATTTTGGAATTTCCTTTGTCCTGGCTTTGATTAAAAATTTCGGTGCACTTCTTGCTGTAACAGGTAAGAATAATATACCTGCTTAGATTATATATAAAATCAGCATTTAAATTTTCTCTGATGCTCTTTTTCAAAAGATAAGTATAGTACCTAATCTTCATTAAAAAGAGAATTGTCATATTTTTCCAATTCCTGGGCTTATGGTATGTTCTTTTAATTCTAAAGAAAATGATGTTTAATCTTAATTTCTTATCTGAAGGCTTAATTTTAAAGTCAAACATATGCATTTATCGAAATAGTAACCTTTAAATACATTAAAATAAGGTTTTATTAAAAAGTATAATGGATGAACATCTGCATAGAAACATAGTAGCTTTATACACTGTATAACTGAAAATTTCAGTTTTGTTGAAGTTAAAGTATGACAGATCTGTTTTGAACAAAGCTTTTTGGACACTTGCCAGGACATCAACCAAATGAGCTTTTCTTTTCACTAGCAATTATTAGGCACCTGCTCTGTGCTGGGACTTTGCCTCCACTTTAGAGGCATGGAATTTGTATTTGTTCTGCTGTGCAGGAGTGAGGAAAACAGATGAGGGGCTACAGGTGAGGCCTGAAGAGGGCAACAGATGGCTCCCACTACTACCTTGAATTGTTTGCCACATGAATAGTACAGATGATGAGTGCTCTTGGCGTCTCCCATGTGGAGAGAGCCCTGACGCCAGGATTGCAAGAAGTAGAAGAGCTCTGGCTTGCGTGTCAGAGAAGGCGGAGCCCAGTCCCGGCTCTAATGCAGGTTAATGACTTGTGACCTGGAGAGCGAGTCTCTCCTCTTCTGTGGGCTTCATTTCTCTTTTGAGTACTAATTGATTGAACTCGATTTATTTCCAGCAGAGATCTGTAGAATTGTAATTCATAATGCATATATATACATATATGTATATTAGTCAATTTATCTGATTTTAATTTTCTGTGGTTCTAGAGAAATACGTATTTTAATACCACAGAGTTAAACAAATGAACAAATACCTCTGTCTTTGTAAGAGTATATTTGCTTTCTAACTTTTCTCTTTATTTGCTCTGGTATGACTCTCGTTTTTAAAATTTACATCCCTAATGATAAATAGAGGGAATTTGGCTGTAGAATAGGCCATATAACTAATCATTCAATTCATCTCATGCTGTCAAGAAAGATTGCAAATTCATATACTTAGCTTGGGTTTAAATTTTGCTTGTAAGATAGTAATTGTTTTAAACAGTTACTTATATCAATTGGTATGCATTGATTGAACCCTGATGTTTGTATAAAGAAATGTGAGCCCTGGATGGCTTCGCTCAGTGGTTAGAGTTGGCCCTCAGACCAAAGGGTCTCGGGTTCCATTCCCAGTCAAGGGCACATGCCTTGGTTGCAGGTTTCCCAGAGCTGTGCAGGAGGCAGCCAATATTGCATCTTTGCCATGTGGATGTTTGTCTCTCTTTCCCTCCCCCCCCCTCACCCCGCCTCTAGAAATTAATGGGAAAATAAAATATCCTTGAGTCAGGATTTAAAAAAAGAAAGAAAAGAATTGTGAGATTTAGTCCTGGTCTTGAAGGTTTAGGCCGGTCTATATCTAGCTTGTTAAAAGAAATCCAGAAGTGGTGATAATAATTATAGTTAATGCGCACATAGCCCTTACTTTGCACCAGTCACTATTTTATGTAGTTTACGTATATTTCATCTTAATCTTTGCTCTTACCCCATGCGGTATACTGCCTCTTAACCTGGTGTGGTGTCTCCATGCTCATCAGGAATCCAGGCTTCTTCTATGTATTCTGCCATCTTATTCCTCATTCTAGTCAGTGAGATGGAGAGAAGATGAAATACACATTTCTCTTTATGGAAACTTCCTATAAATCACACTCCTAGAGACAGCACTTTTTCTCACATTTTCATTGACCAAAATCTAATCAATCACATGATCACACCTAGTTGTAGGAGAGGCTGAAAGTTAAGCCCATTTAAAAAAAGGGGGAGAGGGGTCCGTTTACTAAAGTAAAAGAAAAGACAGATTTGGGAATCAGGCTCTGATACATATTTCCAAAACAGTTTCTTCATTTTGTATTCATTCATTCATCATTGAACAATAAGTGCCAGGAATTAGAGAATCTGGAAATATAAGGATGAATGAGACAAGGAATTAAGTAAAGTACACAGTCTAATGGGAAGATAGCAACTGATAATGAAAAGTAAGGGAAAAGCTGTAATGGAGATATATGCAGTTGTTTATATCTACCTGGGTAGGACTAAGGAGGAAGGTTTCAGGGCTTGCAACAGACTTCATTTGAAGTAATAACTTCAAGGTTAAGTAAAAGTTAATACAGATAAAGAGGATTGTAAGGATTACTCATCAGCTTAATCATATATGACTGCTATTAAGATATTAGATTGCTACTTTTAAAGACTAACCCCTAATCATATCTTCTTTGGGAAAGCTTTGCTTTCCTGCCAAACTAAGTCTCTCTAAGGCAGAGGTGGGGAAAGTCCGGCCTGAGGGCCATATAAGGCCAGCAAAATCATTTGGTCTGGCCCTGCCAAGGCATTAGGGGTAAGTTAATTAAATGTTTAACCAAATATAGCAAGCTAATTTTTAAGTTGATAATTTTGTTTGGCCCTCAAATGATGTTATAAATATCCAAATGGCCCTTGGCAGAAAAAGGGTCCCCACCCCTGCATATGCCTCCATCATGTCATGGCCTCCATGTATTTACTACATGGCCTCAAGTATTTACTACCGGTGTGCTTTAACATTTATCTGTAATATTTAATGTCTGTACCCTTACTAGACTATAAATTCCATAGTAGCAGCAACAGTTAGTTTTTATTTGCTTTTTTTTAACTTTATTTTTTTTAATATATTTTCATTGATTTCAGAGAGGAAGGGAGGAAAGAGAAATAGAAAGATCAGTAATGAGGGAGAATCATTGATTGGCTGCCTCCTGTATGCCTCCTACTGGGGATCAATTGAGCCCGCAACCTGAGCATATGCTCTGACCGGAAATCGAACCGTGACTTCCTGGTTTTTAGGTCACCACTCAACCATTGAACCACACGGGCTGGGCTGTTTGCTTTTTGCTTTCCATTGTTTCCTTGCACCTCATATAGATCCTAGCACATAGTAGGCTTTGTAAATACATGTTAAATGAATGATTCCAAAATTATTTCCAGGATAATAGGCACATTCTAAACCAACCTTTCTTCCTACAGTGACAACAGGAAGAAAAGCCATGACCATTGTACTTTCATTTATATTCTTTGCTAAGCCATTCACATTTCAGTAAGTATGTTTAATTCAACAAGTTTCTCAGCTTTTAGATACTTTGTTCCACACTTCCTCTGAAACAGCCTTAATTCTTTATAAAGCTTATTTTTTATCTCTATCCCTATTTTATTGATGTCTTTCTTCTGTTTCAGAAGTTTATGTAATTATTTTGAAGAAATCATTTTGTACACTTAAATTCTCTAACCAGAGTCCCAGGGCAAATGTGATCCTGTTTGCAATATAAATGAGTATGAGCTATGTGTTGAGATTAAGGGATTCATTCCCCCTTGTCCTAGTGCAAATATATAAATTATATATATATATATATATATATATATATATATATGATTTTTTTAAAATTATTGGTTTGTTTCCCTGCTTTTTCCCGCAAAGGAGTGAGGTAGAGAAGAATTCTATCTGTTGTGCCCTAATGATTTAGTTAGTTTGTGGCTTTTTGTGAAAGTCTTTATTGTTTTCTGTACTGTCAAGATGTGTTTGAAATTAGCATCATTTAAAGCAATGATGCTAGCAATTCCTAATCAGTCAGATCTAATCTGATCTAAAGAATCACTTACCTTGATTAGGAATTGAGAAGATTCAAACCTAGGAATTATCAATGTATAAAATTAAAGGTAACTACAAAATAAATTTCCATTCATATATTTTGTTTTCTATAAATTGATTACATGTGGAAGGTATACATTATGGTAATCTTTGCCAATTCATCTTTCTCTGGATGTTTCCCTTTTTATCTTCATATTTTCTACCCACCTGGGATAACTAGTTGTATTCCCAAGATGGCCATTGGCAGATTTACGAATCCAGGGCTTTTAAGTGTACTCTTAAGACTTCTGGTGGGAATTGGACTTTGAATTTTCTATTATCCAAAAATTCAAATGAACTATATTTTGTAGTTTGTAAAGTACCTTAATTCTATATATACACTTAACATACTAGTAAAATATGAAATTCTAATCTGATCTAAAACTATCTTTGTTTTAACACTTATTGCAGGTTTCCCATTTCAAAATTTTATTTTATTGCATGATTTTTGTGAATTTATCACCAAATTCTGTGGTGAATAATAAATTGTTATCTTAATATTAAACTTTTTTAATATATATTTTTTCTCTTAGGTACATATGGTCTGGTTTGTTAGTTGTCCTTGGTATATTTCTCAATGTTTACAGCAAAAATAAGGATAAAATAAAACTACCATCGATATATGATCTGATAAACAAAACAGTGGAAGTGAAAAAATCAAGGACGTTGGCACAAACTGTGTAGGCGGTGATGCCTGCTGTTTCATATAGAATTCTAAGGACCAATCATCAATTAATTCACTTGCCAAAGGGATTATTATAAAAACCAAAGGAACTGACGGCATTTGTGACTGGATTACATATGAAGTCAGCCCTTTTCCTCAGAGCACTTTTTGAATGTTCAGCTTCTGAAGCAATCAAGAGAGCAGCATCTGTCACACCTTAGAATAATATGTCAATATAAAGGACTGTAATTATGAACAGTTTGTTGAGAATTTCACTGGAAATGGACCATGGTGTAAGACTAATTAGATATCATTATGGCATATCAGAGAAACTGATATGTAATAGACTGTTTTGTCTTCATTCCATTTTGGTGGTATTTAAATTGATTCTCTGTTATAAGAGTGAACTGATGATTTAAAGTCTAGTGATAATAACTTCATTATAAATAAAAATTATTCTGTGATTATTTTATTAAAGAATGTATTGATAGAATTTTGTTATAAAGAGGGAAGTAAAGATTGGAGTAAGGCTTTACATAAACTTTAAAACTTAGGGCTTTCTCTGATAACTTAAAAATATTCTTTAGAGAAAACATGCTTTAATTTTTCTGTGAAATATAGCCAGTATAGTAAAAGGAGACAACATACTGCACCCTATAAGTATATATCACAAGAAAAACTTGCACTATTCATCAAAGAGGTGCTAAAAGATTTAATCATTAGGATTCTTTAATTGAAGGCAAAATAATTGATGTCTTAAATTATTATAAAATAATAAAATTGTCATCATTTTTCTTACACAATTGAATTTGGAATGTATTTTGTCAGGTTGCAGATGTAATAAGGTAACCTTAAGAAATACAAATAGATACAGCAAATTTGTAGTTTGTTGCTTGCAAGGTTTTCATCTAAACTCATAAGATTTTTTCCCTTATGTTTTAACAGTGAGTTTTTGGAATTGCTTCCACTATATTTTTTAAAATGCTATTAATCTTCATTTTCAGTGTAAGTAATGTTGATTAAAACAGTATCTCTGCTATTGGTGATATTACTTGTATTTTGTCAGTATAATATACTTGGAATATTTAATCTCAATTCTTAAAATTCTGTTGTATGATGATGGTGACTTTAACCTGTTATGTGCTTTTGTACAACAGAGCTCGTGGCAATTTAAGAATCTAGCATAAGGAATTTGGACTGATTTTTATTTGTTATATGTTAAAATACTGTGGGTGTTTTATTTCGAAGTGGTAATCAGTTTTAAGTTTCTATATTTCAAAATGAAAGGAATCTTAATTTCTACTTTATAATTCTGCCTTAAACTCTAAGACAATAAGGATTTATGCTTTTAAAAAAAGTTATTTTTCCAAATCCTTGATAAAATAGTATAATTTTAACTTAATATGGACACCATTTTACCTCCATGCTTTTCTAATTTTTTTACCACTGTTTGCCTATTACAAACTCATCACATCCCCCAATTTTAAACTATTTAAAAAATCAGTTTTCTAGCCTAACCCTTTATACTCCATTTCCTTTTTTTACCTGCCATCAGATGGAGATAAACTTTATCTCACTTATTTGTATCCATGGAGTTGTATTAATGAATAGTCTGAAGTACAGAATAATTTCTAGAGCAGTGGTTCTCAATCTTGACTGCACATTAGAATCACCTGGGAATCTTTTTAAAATCCTGATTTCTGGGCCTCATCCTCCGGAAATTCTGTTTCTTGTTATGGGGTGGGGCCACAACATTAGTAACAAAGAAACAGAATTTCTGGAGGATGAGGCCCAGAAATCAGGATTTTAAAGAGATTCCCAGGTGATTCTAATGTGCAGCCAAGGTTGAGAACCACTGTTCTAGAGTAAAGGAAATCAACGTTTGTATATTTGTACCAGATTTTGTTATATGATCTTTGATTAATATTATGTCATCCCAACAACCAAATAATAATAAGGGAATTAAAAATAATAATTGAAATTGTTAATGTTTAAGTGTTTGGTAGGTGTCAGGCACTATTATAAGTGCTTTATCTGTAGTAACTTATTTAATCCTCACAACATGTCCATGAGGGTAAGTGTTTTCCTCCTCTTATAGATGAGGAAGCTGTGGCCCCAGGGAGTGAGTGACATTCCTCGCCTTACCTAGCTGCAAAGGGCCAGAACTGTCTGTCAAGTACTCTGGTTCCAGAGTCCATGCTCTTAATCACTATGTTGCCTCTCTCAGTAGATGTGATTATTCATGTTCACATTTTTGCAAATACAGAAATTGAAGATGAGTTCACAATTACATAACTGTTATGGTATATTTCTATCCATTGAACCCCGCTATGAACATTTAAGTTACCCAAAGTAACATTAAGTAATGAGGTGTCTCTCAATAAAGAATTTGAGACATATTTCAATGAATAAGCAAGGATGTTTTGCTTAGAACATTTGTTAAATGCAGAGATATATGTGTGTCTTAAGCAGTATTAGATATAAATTGTTTCGTCAGCTATGTTCACATTAATTGTGTATCATACAGTAGGCACTCAGTAAATATCTGTCATATAGGACTAAGAACATCAATGAATATCAGTAGATCAAAAAAGATAATTGGAGCCGAAACTGGTTTGGCTCAGTGGATAGAGCGTCGGCCTGCAGACTGAAAGGTCCCAGGTTCGATTCCGGTCAAGGGCATGTACCTGGGTTGCGCACATCCCCAGTGGGGGGTGTGCAGGAGGCAGCTGATCGATGTTTCTCTCTCATTGATGTTTCTAACTCTCTCTCTCCCTTTCTCTCTGTAAGAAATCAATAAAAATATATTTAAAAAAAAGATAATTGGATAAATGACATTGTGAATTTTGCCATATTATGTCCCCTTCTTTGGCATATTCAGTCAACAAAATACATAGCAGAAGAATCTGGCTAACTCTTGTGGATCATTGTATTAAGATTGGACCTAGAGGTGATCCAGAGCCCTCAGTAAGGCCGTGTTGCGTAATAAAGAATCTGGCTGACCTTCATCCCTGTTCTCTGGAAGGGAACTTTTCATCCTTGGAGTTTCCCAGGTGTTGGGAGTGTCTTTGTTATTCATGGTGGGCCCTTAAATAATGACAAGGTGGAGACCGATCTTGCTAGAAAGACTAACCTTGTGACTCTAGGGTTGGGATTTTGAACCACATTATATCAGCCCAGCCTGTTGGGGGGCAGGGAGGGGAGAAGGTGTTTGGAGATTGAGTTCAATCATGTGGCCAATGATACAGTCAATCATGGCTGTGTAGTGAGACCCCAATAAAAACTGGACACCAACTCTTGGGAGAGCTCCACTGCTTGGAAATACACATTGATATGACAGGACAATGATTCATCCTGAAAACATGGAAGCTTAGTGTTTGTTACTCTCCCAAATCTTGCCCCATCGGTCTCTTGTCAGGTCCTAATTTTTATTCTTTATAATAAAATAATGGAAATTATAGTACTTCCCTGAGTTCTCTGAGTTGTTCTAGCAAACAGTCAAACCTGAGGGGCTAGTGGGAACCCCTTGAATTTGTAACCAGTTGGTAACAGGTGTGAATAACCTAGGAACCTCAGAGATTGCAGCTGGTGTCTCAAGTGAGGGCAGTCTTGTGGAACTTGATCTAACTCCAGATAGAAGTTCACTGCAGGCTTTATGCTCAACAAATGTTTTTAAATAATTATTAGTATTCTCTGGACTATAATCTAAATCTCTTAATTTTCTCAAGTGATTTCTCATAAATCCACTTTACATTCTAGATTCTGCCTTGGTCAAAAAAAATTTTAGTAAGATTTGACTAGGATAATGGACCATTAATATGGCTTAGCATAATGAAAATATTTGTGCATTTCACCCTCGCTGGTTTGGCTAAAGGGTCCCAGGTTCAATTCCAGTCAAGGACACATACCTTGGTTTCAGGCTCCTCCTTGGCCCAGGCCCTGGTCAGGGTGCGTGCAGGAGGCAACCAATTGATGTGTATCTCTCACTGCCGGGAGCCGGTCCATCCTTGCTGTTTCAAGGGACCTGGCATATATGGCATACTGTTCTTAACATGTTTGCTCACCTTCTTGGCACTATGTGTTTTAACCAAGGTCACCTCTCTGAGAAAGGTTGTTTCCCCAGGTAGGGATTTTCCCCTGAAGTTAGGGAGGGAATAAAACCCCTTAACTAAGTGCCAGGCGGGTAATTAATCACTTTAACTACGAACAATCATGCTTAAGCTACATAATCTTTACTCCCTGGAATGGAGATAAGAAACGCCCTAACCTTTGGAATAGAGATTGATAGGATTGGAATCAACTGGTATAAATACGGATGTAACAAGACAACAGGACACAGAACCTAGACACAGAACCTACACAGAACCTAGAGACAGAAGAACTTCGCTGGAGAGAACATGGCAAAAGATCCTGGACAGAACTTAGAACACAGAACCTAGAGACAGAACCTAGACACACAACCTAGAGACAGAACATGGCAAAAGATCCTGGACAGAAACTGGCCACAGAACCTAGACACAGAACCTAGCGAGAGAACCTGGCTGAAGAACCTAGAGACAGAACCTGGCTACAGAACCTGGATAGAACATGGCAAGAGAACCTGACTAGAACCTGGTGACTGAACCTGGCTGGAGAACCTGGACAGAACCTGGCTGGAGAAACTAGCGAGGAAACATGGCTACAGAACCTGGCTGGAGAACCTAGCAAGAGAACATGGACACAGAACCTGGCTGGAGATCCTAACCAGAACTTCGCTGGAGATCCTGGCTAGAGATCCTGGCTAGGCTGCTGATAACTGAACGCTGTCTCCGTGTCATTCCTTCTTCGCCAACTCCGTCCACACCTTTGGGGACCCCTGGACCTGCTGGGGTTGGACCCCAACATCTCACATCAATGTTTCTCTCTTTCTGTCTTCCACTCTCTAAAAAAATCAATGGAAAAATATCCTCGGGTGAGGATTAACAAAAAATAAAATATGCATTTCGATATCACATTTGCTCTGTAAACTACACAGTTATCAAATTATCAGTCTATTATCAAATTATATTATAAAATTATCATAATATTGCTCAGAATCTTTGTGTGCTGCCTTCCTAATGAAGCACATGACAATTTTTCCTAATATGTTTGAGCAAAATGTTCATATTTTCACTTATTCTTATGTCCATATTGAATGTCCTTGTACTTGTCCACTGAGCCAACCGTCTTAACCTTTTTAACAAATTGTGTAGCATCACTGACTTGACTGCTCTATTTTTATTTAACATCATTTATTCCTCCAGGCCAGTATGAGCTAGGCATTATATGAGATGCTGAGCATGCAGAAAAGAATCTATAACCTTCACTCAAGGCATACCCATTCTAAAGAAGATTGCTGTGATATCTATTTAAAAATATATTACTATCCCCAGCCAGAGTGGCTTAGTTGGTTGAGCATCATCCTATGCACGGAAAGGTTGCCAGTGCAGTTCTGGCCAGGGTACACGCCCAAGTTTCAGGTTTTAACCCTGGTTGTGCACATAAGGAAGGCAACTGATCGATGTTTCTCTCCCCCTTCCTCTTTCTAAGTGTGTCCTTGGATGAGGATTAAAAAAATAAAAAATACATGTAGGTTATCTCATTAACATTAAGTTTTCAAAATAATAATTCCCCACAGTGGTAGTGATTCTAAAATTTTAATGTGTATGTGAATCACCTGAACATCTTAAAAAGGAGGATTTTCATTCAGTAGGACTGGCATGGGGCCTGGTATTTTGCTCCAACAAGAAACTGATGCTACATCAGTTTGGTCCATGGACTACACTTAAGTCTCAAGGCCTTAGAGAATAAACTCCAGAAGTTTTCAGAACCAGGACATCTTGAATTATTTGGATAATGTTCTCCTGATTTCCTTCCATTTCCTAACTTCCTGTTCTGTGTAACCTAATCTGATTTAAGAGACTTTCACAGTTTCTTTGTCCAAATGCAACAGAGTTGCTTGCATAAGTGAAAAGATTTCTTGAGTCATTGTAAGTATATAAAAGATTTAATATTCATTATTTTCTCTATAAATGTTACTTTTTAAAATCTCCACGAAAGTAAGATAAAACCCATAATTTCCCACCAGTCATGGTCTGTTGTTTTAATTTCATGGCATGTAGTTAGAGTACTTTTTGTGCTATTCTGCAGTGACATTATGAAGAAAAGGTTTG